TATCTTGCATTAGTCTTTATATGAAAACCCATAGCCCATGAGTGACCATTATTCCCTCGAGCAGGACACTTAACCCTGCAGTTAGCCTGTGGAACTGTCCCTGCGGTTTGCTCTTCACAATCTGCTTTGGGTAAAAGGCATCGATTACAATTTATAATACGGTCTCATTTGTTAATGTTAGTTAATTCATTAGCCAACATGAACTAACAATGAGGAATATAGTTGTGTCACAAATGATGTACTTTATGCACTCATATGTGCTCAACAGTGTAGTGTGTGAACTTTGTATGGTTATTTTGTCATTCAACATAGATATGAGATACAACTCCACCAAATCCCTCTGTTTTTATTATTTATTATTGTTTACTTCATCTGAATGGTACGAAACTTGGTACGAGTTTGGTACGAAAACACACACACACACACACACACACACAGTCATAGTCATGATTCGAAAAGGTTAAAGGCTCCTGAAAAAAAAAAAACAGTCACAATTGTATTTTTCATGGTCAAAGCATTGGAAAAATGTATTTCTAGTGGAAACATTGGGTACTGCGCCCAAACAAAATCTTTGTGCAGATATCAAGATATCAACTCAAATTTTCAACACAACTTGTTTAGATTTATGCCTTCCGTTTTCTAGTTTTAGAGTAAAACTTGTTTTGGGAAATATAAATTTCATACTGAAACAATTTAATTAACTAATAACTTAATAATAAAAAAAAGTTCTATAAGTAACTTGTTTTTAGTTTCACTTTTTTTTTCACTTCAGCAATAATCTGTGCTCCAAAGCATTCAAGATTTATGAGTTTAAATGGGAAACTTCATTATTAGATCTAAGTTCTTACATGTTAAAGTTGTTACATTGTATGTAAATGGATCATAATTATCCCAAAAATAGAATTTAGTCCCATAAAATCCCCTAAAAAAAACAAACTATTATCGAACTAAAATCTAGTACATTCATTTCAATAAATAATAAATATATATTTTTGACTGCCACAACAAAAAATAACGATTGGATTAACATTAAAAAAATATGCACATTGGTTGTAGATTTTCTAAACATAATTTATCTGTTCTTGTTGCCCAATTTATGTCAAATGAACATGATTTTTCATGTTTTAATGCATTTTATGTCACGTGACCTCATGTTAATTTAACATGGCTTATGTTTAAATGAAAACTTTATCCAGTATATGCAGTGGTGTTCCAATAAATAAAATCATAAGAAAATAATCCTGATAAAAACTACCAGAGGATTAATAAAGTGGTATTCAGTTTTTCAAACTAGTCGTTCACCAAAAATCTGTAATTTAGCACTACATCATTCCAGTAAATCTTATTTTGTATTCCACAGAAGAAAGAACACATGCATGTTTGGAATAATATAAAGGTAAAATCAAATGCATTTAAGTTCAGCAGCATCTTGACAAGGAAACATATGGTAGGGGACGAAGGGACAGGAAAAAATATGCAGCCAGTGACCTTACCTTCACTCTATAATCAATATCATATTATCTGAATGAGGAACAGGGAGAGATAGAGAGCAGAAAAACCTACATTGCATATGTTTTTCTCTAAGGGCTTGTATATGACATATTACACCTCATGAAATACATACATTAAATCATTTAAGTGTTTTGGGAATATGTGTACCTGTGTGGAGAACATCACAGATGGACTCGTCTCAAAGGAGCAGTGCTTCCTGTGGAGAAAACAACACGGCCTCCATCTCATAAACTAACAGTACATCTCTGTCAGACACACAAACCTTTATTAATGGAGACACTGTAATAGCCTTTTTAAAGAAGCACCAACCAGAATCTTCAAAAAATGTTTGCTTGGAAACATTGAAGTGCTTGGAAAATATGTAGCCAAAATATTGCTATTCAGTTAAGGTCAATTTCATTTAAGGCTTCATTTAAAGTGACAGAGTCTTTGAAGGGTCGAGTCCGAGTCGAGGCCGAGTCCGTTGGTTTTCAAATACAGTCGAGTCTGAGTCAAGACAGAGTCTTTGAAGGGTCGAGTCCGAGTCAAGACCGAGTCCGTTGGTTTTCAAATACAGTCGAGTCCGAGTCAAGACAGAGTCTTTGAAGGGTCGAGTCCGAGTCAAGACCGAGTCCGTTGGTTTTCAAATACAGTCGAGTCCGAGTCAAGACCGAGTCTTTGAAGGGTCGAGTCCGAGTCCATTGGTTTCCAAATACAGTCGAGTCCGAGTCAAGACCGAGTCTTTGAAGGGTTGAGTCCGAGTCGAGTCGAGTCCGAGTCCGTTGGTTTTCAAATACAGTCGAGTCCGAGTCAAGACCGAGTCTTTGAAGGGTTGAGTCCGAGTCGAGTCCGAGTCCGTTGGTTTTCAAATACAGTCGAGTCCGAGTCAAGACCGAGTCTTTGAAGGGTCGAGTCCGAGTCGAGACCGAGTCCGTTGGTTTTCAAATACAATCGAGTCCGAGTCAAGACCGAGTCTTTGAAGGGTCGAGTCCGAGTCCATTGGTTTCCAAATACAGTCGAGTCCGAGTCAAGACCGAGTCTTTGAAGGGTCGAGTCCGAGTCCATTGGTTTCCAAATACAGTCGAGTCCGAGTCAAGACCGAGTCTTTGAAGGGTCGAGTCCGAGTCGAGACCGAGTCCGTTGGTTTTCAAATACAGTCGAGTCCGAGTCAAGACCAAGTCTTTGAAGGGTCGAGTCCGAGTCGAGACCGAGTCCGTTGGTTTTCAAATACAATCGAGTCCGAGTCAAGACCGAGTCTTTGAAGGGTCGAGTCCGAGTCCATTGGTTTCCAAATACAGTCGAGTCCGAGTCAAGACCGAGTCTTTGAAGGGTCGAGTCCGAGTCCATTGGTTTCCAAATACAGTCGAGTCCGAGTCAAGACCAAGTCTTTGAAGGGTCGAGTCCGAGTCAAGACCGAGTCCGTTGGTTTTCAAATACAGTCGAGTCCGAGTCAAGACCGAGTCTTTGAAGGGTTGAGTCCGAGTCGAGGCAGAGTCCGTTGGTTTTCAAATACAATCGAGTCCGAGTCAAGACCGAGTCTTTGAAGGGTCGAGTCCGAGTCGAGACCGAGTCCATTGGTTTTCAAATACAGTCGAGTCCGAGTCAAGACCGAGTCTTTGAAGGGTCGAGTCCGAGTCCATTGGTTTCCAAATACAGTCGAGTCCGAGTCAAGACCGAGTCTTTGAAGGGTCGAGTCCGAGTCGAGACCGAGTCCGTTGGTTTTCAAATACAGTCGAGTCCGAGTCAAGACCAAGTCTTTGATGGGTCGAGTCCAAATCGAGACCGAGTCTGTTGGTTTTCAAATACAGTCGAGTCCGAGTCAAGACCAAGTCTTTTATGGGTCGAGACAGAGTCTTTGAAGGGACAAGTCGACGAGTCAGAGAGAACAGAAATCAGTCTCAAGACTTGTCTTGAGTCCGAGACCAGACTCGAGTACTACATCACTAGTGTTGCTGAGTGGTTGCTAGGTGGATGTTGGGGTATCTTGAATGCTTAAAAAAGTCGCCCACCTCATCCTCAATTGATAATCCACAAATTCACACCATTGGCTGAGCCAGAAGTCGACATGTTAGATAACTGAAACAAAAAGGGAGCTGCAAAATCAACATAAAAATCCTTTATGTCAGAAAAGCCTAAATCTATAAGCCAAGGTGTTCATAATTAGAGTTCTCATTTCCTTCCGCTAAGAAGCAAATATTCTTACTGACAGTAATATTAACAAAGCATAATTTAGATGCAATTAACCTTAGACTGACAAGCCATTTATCATTTTCAAACGGGGTCACCAGTTCATATGCTAGTGCTTTTACAGTCTGATCAAACAGCAACTCTTTCAGCATATTCTTACTTCAAACAGCTATATTATGCAAATATAAAAGGCATACTAGCTGTAGGGTGTGTTCTGTTATAATATTTATTTTGAAAAAATATTTTGTTGAGGCTTTGAATGTGCACATTTAACTCTTCATAGCTGGTTCAAACCAACATCATAACATTCAACTTTTGGGCATAATGCCCATATATATACAAGGACGACTGTACCACTCAGAAAATGGGTTCAATCCACTTTATGCATAACCAGGGTCAGATGCATGTGCATGTATCACGTCTGGAGAAACAATACAATAAGGAGAAATTATATATATTTTTAATAATCATTATTATTTCACTCTAATTGTAAAACACTGTAAGACAATTACTATCTAAATTAATAAAATGTAAAATTTTAGGCAGGAATAAAACTAATGTATATAGCCTATTCTAAATAACATAAGTTAAAAAAGAGTAGCTATGGGTAATTTTGTAGGCTACTGATTTAAAAAACAGTCTTATAATAAAAGCTGTACTGAGATCAATAATTGCATGCTGGTAGTAAATTGTGGTGCTTGAAGGGATAATATCTCTAGATTGAAGCTCAGATACTATAACAAAGAAAGCGCTCTCTGAGCACTCGCTCCCCTCCGCTGCTCCGCGTCCGTCAGTATGTGATATCTACACTTCGTAAGCACATAACGCTATTATTCCACTCTTCTGCTTTGTCTGGGGTGATGAAGAGCCGCTGAAACATCCTGCGCTTGACATCGCTGAGAAATGGCAGTCGAATCAAGCTGACACGAATGAGACAATACAGCAAGCTCTCTAACGATGGGACATCCGAGTCACTTCAGCGAGTCGGTTCGTTCAGAAGATTCATTTAAGTGAATCGATTCTTCCGAGTCATCATTTAAAAGTGGTTCTATTGTGAAGTTTCGTAATTTTTTATTGAGAAATATTTTAGTCAAATATGATATTTGATTAGGGTACCTATTAAAATGTAAAGTTTTTAAACTTTTGTTTTAAACTTTCACATAAATCTGTGTTTAATAAATCTCACTGTTTAACAAATATGGTTTAAATAGATTTGTTGATCCAACTTTTCACCCACAGCAGCCTACAGTACGCCGTTAGCCAACTTCAATACTAGACACTATGCGAAGCAGTTCGAATGAATAAAGGAATCGACTCAAACGAACGATTCGTTTGGGAATCGGACATCGCTACGCTGTGAACCGAGCGTTGAATTATGCATTCGGACTAACAAGGGAAAGTGATGCTCAGAGAGGAGGACAGGACTCGGAGAAGATGCATTAAAGGGCGATGAAGTTATGTGAAGCGGTCTCTCGTAGAAGCGTTATACGCACGTATGATTAATTTAATATAGTGTTTTATTGCTACGCATGTAGCCTACAACACGGGGTGGATTTTATTGCAAAGGAAAAACGATAGCCGATATCGGATGGTCGGTGAAAGGAAGAGAGAGTGAGTAAGACAGGGGTAGCATATGTGATTTTAATGATGACTTACAGTCTACAGCGGACCGTCACTTAATTTTGAATTAACCTACAGCTTGAATAGCGTGGAACTTCGCAATTCTGAGGAAATAATAGAAAGGAAAAAAAGGTTTTATTCTGGCAAGAGAGAGATGGATGGAGAAACAGGCAAAGGAAGGGCTCTCTGATGAAAAGGTAAGTTGACTTAATATAAAATTTGGCTATTTTATTTGCTGAGTGTGAGCAGTTCAAGCATTGCTTTACCATCACACGAAATCGCAGCTGTGTGAATGAATGTGAATCCGCTGGAATAACAACAGACGCGTTTAGCGCAGTCAGAATTAAGCACAACTGTCACAGCATACAAAGCAACTGCTGACACTTTCCCCATTGCTGGTTTTTGAGGTAATGTGTCCTTTTGCCGAATACAGCTCGACAAGCACAACACAGGAGTCGTTCACACGTGTTATGTGTTTCTGCGCAATCGTTTAATTGTTGTTCCACATGCGTGTTTTCGGCAGAGGCGTCGCGTTGTGAGTGTTGCTGTTTCAAGGCACATGTCTTTCAGTTAAGTCTTTATTGTTGCATTCTGCAAGGCCATTAAAACTGGTTTGATAAAATAAATAAAATACAAATAAAGTTCAATAAGAATTCATGTGCGTGTGCTGGTGCTCATTACCTCATGATAAACACTGGTGCGGTTTCTGGCTTTGGCGCGAATCATTGCCATTCATAATGTGTAAGTGTTGGCTTTTCGACGGGCAGGTTGAAGTAGGCAGGCGTTTAAATTTTTTTTTTCACTAGTGCTGTACATTGTGTGTAATGTCTAAACCTTTCGATTTAATTGTTTTAAACACATATAATCTTCAATGTGCTGTACATTTGTGCACACAAGAACACCTGGCAGATGCCATTCAAATATAGGTGTTGTGTTGTTAGAAATCATACCTGTGACAGCCCTAAAAGAAAAAAAGAGAGGGATTGAATTGGCCCATGTTTTTTGCTAATCGGGAACCTCAGCCTGTCAATCATTTCAATTTTCTGACATTGGGTAGGTTGACATCTCTTTAGAGGGCGGGGTTTCAGAGTGCCCTGAGGCTAGCCAATTTTTGGGGTTTTTGGCTAAAATCACTTTCAACATTGATTGATTGATTGACTGATTGATTTCCATTATTGGGCTCACTGAGGAGTTAGTGTGATCACGGCAGCATGTACTGTAGGACTTGGCTGAACCAAAGAGCATATCATTTGGAAGGCATCTAATTACTGTGTAAAACATCTGATAAATTGCTGAAATGGGAATCTGTTGTGCAACAACAGATTACTTTTACATGGTGTTTGCACGTGTGTCGGCAGTGTGCGTTCACAAGCACCCTATAATGGTAAAAATCAACCAACTCCTTTTTTTTATCCCCATAAATCATAAGCAGTGTCTCCGAATAAGCGTTTGCCGTTTCTATGCAATGTGACGTCATGTTTCGTAGGCCCCGCCCATTATCGCTGGGACTCCACCCTATTAGCATAGACCCCGCCCTGAGTGCGCTGTACATAGTCCGCTGTTTATTTATCAGCAGCGTCACTGAACGCAGATTGACAACTGAACTGGAAGACGATACAATGCTGAATAAAATCGTAGTTGTTGTTATTTTTGGACCAAAATGTATTTTCGATGCTTCAAACATTGTAATTAACCCACTGATGTCACATGGACTACTTTGATGATGTCTTTATTTCCTTTCTGGACAAGGACAGTATACCGTACATACATTTTCAATGGAGAGACAGAAAGCTCTCAGTCTAAATCTAAACTATCTTAAACTGTGTTCTGAAGATGAACGGAGGTCTTATATGGGCTTGGGACGATATGAGGTTGAGTCATTAATGACATAATTAAAATTTTTTGGTGAACTAACCCTTTAAGTAAGAAATGTATTCTTATTAAAGCTACTAATGTTATTCAATCAAGAGCTTTAAGTTACTTTCTGTTTTTTCTTTTGTTGTCTGATTCATTTTTACAGCATATTACGCTGCTTTGACTAATTACACAGATCTAATGGACGCATGGGATTTCTTTACTTGATGTTTAGTGTTCACAAAGACATAACCAACTGTTTATGTGAACTTTGGTCACTTAGGTCACACTTTAGGTCCCTTAGTGCCAATTGGGCATTTCTCACCATGTCCATCCCTTTATGGCCACCATGTCCATCCTCTGATGGCTACTTCCAGCAGGATAATGCACCATGTCACAAAGCTGGAATCATTTCAAATTGGTTTCTTGAACATGACAATGAGTTGACTGTACTAAAATGGCCCCCACAGTCACCAGATCTCAACCCAATAGAGCATCTTTGGGATGTGGTGGAACGGGAGCTTCGTGCCCTGGATGTGCATCCCACAAATCTCCATCAACTGCAAGATGCTATCCTATCAATATGGGCCGACATTTCTAAAGAATGCTTTCAGCACCTTGTTGAATCAATGCCACGTAGAATTAAGGCAGTTCTGAAGGCGAAAGGGGGTCAAAAACAGTATTAGTATGCTGTTCCTAATAATACTTTAGGTGAGTGTATATTTACAACATGATGCAATAAATGGTCTGTGGGGTATTTTGAGCTGAAATTTTACAGACACATTCTGGGGACACCTGAGACTTATATTACATCTTGTAAAAAGATGCATAATAGGTCCCCTTTAAAAAGACACTCACATATAGCCTATACTAAATCATAAGAGTAATTTTAATGTCAATCGGAATGTTTTTGATCAGAAAAAGCTATATAAATGACATTTCCCATGAAAGAGCACAATTCAATTAGACTGTTTGACGTTTGACGCCTGACCACATAAGACATGCCTTTGTTTCAATAGGAAAACCTAAGCAATATGCTCTTAAGGCACAGCCGGGTTAAAACGGCTTTAATGTCGTGTTGTTGAATGAATAATCCCCTGGCCTTGAGCTTTATAAAATGTGGAGTGGTTGAATAACCGAGGATTCTGCCTGCATGCTTAACACTCTGGCTCTCCCACAGGGCACTAACAAGACAGTTCACAGACAGATAAGTCATTGCATTTGATAACTCAGGCTACATCTTGAAATCAGCAAGTTAGCATCTAAAGGAACAGTTTACCCATAAATGAAAATTTTGTCAGTATTTAATCATCCTCAAGTTATTCCAAAACATGCATGAACATACTGTAAATGAAGGTGTTTTGAAGAATATTAACACTCCTATTTTCAGTATAATAAACGTGAATGGAAACAGGGGCTTTTCTCTGTCAAAAAGGAGAATAAAAGTTGTTTAAATGACAAGTCTTCTAAAGCCATACAATAGCTTTCTGTGCAAACACAGAACGTTCCCCTAACGTTCCTGAATGGTCCCATGTGGTTATTTTTTTGGGAACCAAACAAGAACGTTATAGGAACGTTCCATGTTGGTTATTTTTAGGTTCCATTTTTATAACGTATAGAATGTTCCGGGTACGTTCCCTTAACCTTAAGAGAAAGTTCTAGGAACGTTCTGGGAACCAAAACTAAACGTTCCCAGAATGTTTCGAGAACCTAAATTTGTTTGCTGGGATCGAATTCGTTATTCACCAGGAAATCATATTTTCTGTCGTAGCTATCAAACCTCATTCACACTTTAACATATTCGAATTCGGTGTACAGATAAAATGATAATGCGACGTCATTTTTAAAGATCGCCCCAATAGCTCAAACTGAAATAAAACTTCAGTATGACTTCACTGGGTTGATCAACGGCACATCATCATCATCATCCGTTGCGCCATTGAAAAGAGTCTTGTCATCACAGATGGAATTGACGTCATTCACTACCGTCGCTTTTTAAAAAACGTAAAAACTCGAAACGAAAAAATATTCCCAAAACTCGCATTGATGGGAATATCCAACGCTATCTCACGACCAATTTGTATGTATTTTCCGAGGTGGCTAAAGGCCTTGTACACACGGACATGGGTATTTTTTATAACCGTGACTTTTTTACGCGGTTCGGCCGTGCAGTGCACTTTTTGAATTGTGTGAAACATTTTTGAAAACCCCTGCCAGGGTGAGGATTTTCAGAAACACCAGTTACAGTGTCATTGTGTAGATAGTAAAACCAGGGATTTTGCCTTGCGACATCAGAGTGTAAGCCCTCGCTGCGCGTTATCCACCTACCGGAACCTGTAATAACTTTTATTAGGCTTCTGATCGGCCAACGTGGCTTTACGGTTAGGGTTATATCGCCGCCTGCTGGTGTGGCATGCTCTTGACAGTGCTTGATAGAGTGTTCATGTGGACGGGATTTTTTTTTATAATGCAGGAGGAAAAACTCCAGTTATAAAAATACCCGTGTCCATGTGGACAATAGCGTGGGAAAACCCAGACAACTTCCGGTAAATTTCGATTTGCTCTGAAAGTTAGTCTGGCAAAGAGCTCATTAATCGCGGCACCAATCAGAAACGTTGGGGCGGGGTTTACACGATGACGACAGCGCTAGGATTTTGAAGCAGATTTTGTAGCCTACATTTCAAAGATGGATGACGCCGTCGAACACCACTCGTTCGAATCAGCTATCGCGTCTGTTTTAAGAGATTTGAACGTTTCCTTTTTGTTTAAAACCGAGCAAAGAACAACACTCGGAGATGTTTCTCCGCCGGCCGCCGCTCTGCATACGTCATCTCCTTCATCGCTCTGATTGGTTTTAGGTCTATCCGCGACGTCCGTTGGTGACGCCCCTCTGGAAATGATTTGTCCATGATGCTTTGCCAGACCATAACTCAGTTTCAACTGAGAATAGTCTGGTTTTAACCAGGCTATGTGGACAAGGCCTAATTCGTACAAATTGATACAAGTTCGTGGGATTTGTCTAAACCCCATTGACGGGTAGGTTTAGGGGCGAGGTCATTCAAACCAATTCATACGAATTAGCCACCTCATAAATTATGAATACGTACGAATTGCTGTGAGATCGGGTTGGAATCTGTCCGCTTACTTGGCTGGCGCAAATGCATGTATATGATTCATATCAGATTTATTTCCACAGATATATGAAGCATTTGTGGCCCATAGCATAAGATTACTTGTCACCATTTTAACAAATTCGGTATCGCGCAAACTTTCTAACTTTAATCTGCCAGCAAGCGCCTGCTCTCAGACCTTAAAACAATCAAATGCTACTGCTTGCTTCTAC